TGGGATAGCATTCTCATTATATGACTTATTATCTTTATGATGTGGTAATAAAGGTGAAAATTGGTAAAAGCTGTCCTAGAACTAGCTCTCCAAATTTCAAGAGTATTTTCATTATGCTTTACAATCGAAATTATTCCGGATGAATTCTGGCCGGGATCTTATTTCTTGTGGTTTTTGCTTTAGTGTGTTTTGTTTTCTAATTTGGCTGTGTTATAAATTGTGGCTATAAAGGATTTTAATCTATGAAATGTTTTGATTTATTTGATTTTCTAAGCTCCAAATGCTTTGTATTTTGCTAGATATTTAAACAATTTGTAAGTAATTAAATAGATAGAGACTTTATTACAACTGAACCTTTAGGCTTCATTCATTAATTTGTTCAGTAAGTAGTAAGTTACTGAGGACCTGCTGGTGCCTCACCTTGTTCTGGGTGCTAAAATACAGCAGTAGTCAAATGAGATAGAAGTGTGAGAATAAAGCACAGTGTCATGGTAAAAGTGTTTGATCTGTGGATAACAGTTGCTATTTTCCTGAAATATGGAAACTAAGATAAAAATAAAAGCAACAATTTACTTACTGTTCTCTGCCCTACATTTGATTCAGGTTCCCATTCCATTTTCATAGAAACCCTATGAGATAGCTATCACTATTATTCCCAAGATAAGGAAACTGAAGCTAAGAGGGAATGACTGATTCAGATTTAAATCTAGTATGATGACTTATCGTTCACACACTTATTCTCCTTTCTCAGATTCAGAGCTTAAATAAAAAGAAAAAAAAATATTATTTTCTTGTGTTCAAAGCACTGCACTTTGGGAATGGTAGGGAACACAGCATCTATTAAGAAACGATTTCCATTTTTCACAAAGAATGTAGAAAGAAGGACTGTCAAGATCTACTCATTCAAAAGAGTATCTAGCAAGTTCCCCCTCTGGATTGGGCTCTATGGAAAGGCCTATACTCTGTACTTGGGAAAATTTTATCATACTATTAAGGGAACATCAGTGTGGAGTAGATAATTTTAAAGAGATACAAAACCTGAATCATAGGTGATCAGTTTTTGGGTAGACAATGGTTTGCTGATTCAAGTAAGAGAAGCTAGTTTTCCACAATAACAGGAATATAAATAATACACCTAAGGAATTACCTTAAGTACAATATGCATTATTACAAATATACTAATTCCCTGGAAAATGTTTCCCTGAAGTTTTTTTTCTCCTCACCTAACCTAGCAGGCATGATCAATTTCCTTGACTAGTTTCCTAAGGAAAGTTTAAAAGGTGGCAGGTAAGYCTTTGGACAAGAGCCAAAGTGCACATTGCCCATAAACAGAAATTCCTGGCTTCCTTTGGAGCTGCATGACCATGAGCACTCCTTTTTTTTTTTTTTTTAACTACTTCTTAGTGCCCAGAAAGCACACATTAGCTAAGCCAAGAATGAAGGTTAAAATCTAAGTGATTTTTGAATGACAATTTGTAGGAATTCTAAAAGTGTGTGGTGAAACAAGAGCAAAAGTCAGGAATGGTCTTTCTTAGTAGCTGATGTTAAGACATCCTCATAGAGGTCCTTCTTACTAGCAGTTCTGCAGTCTTCACTTATATCCCATTTATCTGATCTTCACCAGAGTGACACCTCATGTGGAAGCACCTCATAGAGTGAGCTACTTCCTCTCCTTGCTATGGTTTCAACACCCAGTAGCAGACAGTCCCATAATCCCTTTCACTCTGCTACATGTCCTGTAATTCATAATGGGCTGCCCTTTGTTTCAGCATCCTATCTACCCTCTCCAGGCTCTGACTCCACATATCCTGTGCAGATGCCTTCCTCACTCCGCTTGAGCTATGACTCTCCACTTAGGCTGTGTCCTACCTGATGATTACAGGCTGAGTTACCCAGGAAGGGAATAGGTTCCCTTTTTTTTTTCTTATGGTAKATAAATATTGGGTCTTCTCAGTTAATATCTCTGATTAATATTAATATTGCTGGTTTTTTCACTCAGCAATTTTTATTTCTTTACTACTTCTTGTTATAATCTGGGTTATTTCCTGAGAATTGTTTCTAAGCCTTTTATTCCCTCTTTACTTGAGCCTATTTTGATTTATTCTCTGAATTGATATTTGCTTTAGTTAAATGATTATATTTTATTTCTAGAAGTAGCATTTATTTCTTTTAAAAAAGTCTACCTGTATATGTTTTTATAGGTTGTTTATTTTCTAAGTTTTTWAATGTCTTCCTTCTGTTTTTCTTTTGTCTTTTTAACAGTTTATAATACTTTAATACATTTGTTTTTCTTTTGCAGTAGGTTTAGATAATTCTCTTATCATTAGTTCCCAGGGTACTTATACCTCTGCTTGGTCATAGTTTATTATTTTCTTGAATGTTTTGTAATTTGATTTTGAATTTATTTTCCATTGAAGTTATTAGTTTCTATAGGAATCTTAAGCACTCTTGGTTGTTGAGGTGTCTCCCAAAATGCATTTTAAAAACAAAATTTCTAACTTAACTTTATTGATGTATAGTTGGCATGTAGGATACTTGTATGTTCAAAATGCATGTAAAGTGCAAAATTTTATAAGTTTTGACAAATGTATACACTAAGGAATACATTACTACAATTTAAATAATGAACCCATTTACCACCCTCAAACATTTCCTCCTTCACATTTGTAACCTAACTCTTTTCTGTCCCTTCTTGGTGTCCCAAGCAATCACTTACCTGCTACCTGCTTTCTGTTGCTATGGACAAATTTAAATTTTTTTAGAAATTTATACAAAGAAAACCATACAGTATTATTCTGTTGAGTTACTTTTGTCATCAATGTAATTATTTTCAAATTCATGTCATGTGAATCATTAGGTCATTCTTTCTTGTTTTTTATTGTGGAATAGTATTCCATTGTGTGGATACTCCAAAATTTGTTTTTTTCAGTTACCTATTAATTGACATTTAGGTTATTTCCAGTTTTAGGTTACGGCAAATAACATTGCACAAGTAGCAACCTTTGTATGAAAATATCCCTTTTTTCCCCTTGTAGGTAAGACTTAGGAGTGGTTTGGCTGAGTCATGTAGTAGATATATATTCWGGCTTTGTCTGAAACAACCAAACTGTCTACCATTGTACATTCTAACCATTGGTGTATGAGTTTCATTTGCTCTATAAACTTCCTAGCATTTGACATAACTTTTATTTTTAGATGTTAGATATTCTAATAGGTACATAGTATTTCTGAAAAATCTTCCAGTAGTATCATTGACCTGGGAAAATTTTGAACCTTGATTTTTCTTGTAGTGTTTCTGTCATTATACTTTTTACTCCACACCCATTTGTGGTTCAGACTGCATTTTTCTCTGAAGAGTCAACCAGTAAGCTTCCTTATCTTCTAGGAGTAGTGGTGCAGTTTTTTTGAGGTTCCCATTACATTGAGCAAGGTTATCTCTAAAAGGCTTTATTTCTTGTCCTTAAGTATATTATCACTCAAATTCCTCACCCACAAAAGCCATAGACTGACCCAGATCCAGGCTTATGTACTGGTTTTCAGATTCCTCTGTTTTCACTCCTTGAGATCCTAGACTTATTTGCAGTCTTATTTGGGAAGCAATATTTTAATATGTATATAATGCACTACTTTTCTGTGTTTGAAGCAGAAGAGATCAAAAGTCAGATTATAGTGTTTTAATAAACCAGAATCCCTGGTTAGTTTAGTAATTTGATTAACTTGTGTTGTCCTGGTATTCAAAATTGCCAARTTAAGAGTATTTTCTATAGAAACTTTGGTTTCATGGTGCTTGGTATGGAAGTAAGACTATTACAGGTATATTATAGAATAGATATACTTTTGTWCTATACTAACATGTGAACCATGTGGAATTCCAACAGTGGGAGTACATGTGAAAAATTTAAAGTAGCCAGTTTGTGGATTACTCACTGTCACTGTCCATGCTAAATTTGTATTCATGGTGTCAGTGCACACCCCAGTTTTATATATTCGTCTCTCTGTATGTGTGTGTGTATGCTAAATATATGTAAATGAGTATTGTAAATAGTAGAAACAATAATTCTAAAATTTCTTATTGGTATTTAACTTTTTGATGCTTTACTACATAAATCCTTCCAGATAGAATATTTGAATTTTGTCAACTTTCTCAAAGCAAACATGAAAAGTATCCTTAGTACCTTCTTTCTGTCTTCTATTTTTGACATTTTAATGGGATTAAATAATACTGCTAAATTACATTCCCAAATTGTTTGTATTTCATAAAAAAATGACTATGTGGGGAGAATAATTAACTGGTGTCTCACAAAATGTAATGACATATCACTCAGTAGTATTTTATTTATTACTCAGGTGAGCATTTTTGGATTATTATGCATTCATTTTAACCATTGCAACTATTACATGATTAGTAGTGACTGCATGAATTTTATTATTGAGGAAGATACCAAATATAAAAATGGGTCAAATAAAAATCATTATAAATAACTGTATAACTTGAATGTGAATATGGCAGAAATCATGACAGTCACTGACACATGAATCTTTCAGTACTAGGAAACACTATTTTTGTGGAAGAGATTTTCTTTTTAATTGAAAATTCAGGAATTTGTTGCCTAGATAAAGTGATATTTCTGGAGAGAGGAAGTTTATATTGTGGTATGTAAGACAGTTTTGTTCTTCAGAGGCCTACCTGGACTTTGAAGAAGCTTGGGATAAAGCAATAGTAAGAACTGGGTGTGCAGTGGGAAGATCATTCTTATCTTTCTGTTCATCAGTATCAATAATCAAGAATGGAAAGAGGAGATATTCTTTTTTGATGGAATAGTGATGGCAATAATTTCAGTGTCTGATGGCTACTTTCTCCTCTAATTGATGATGAAGCAAACATATCATGGAAACTTGTGTCATCATAAATACATTTTGTACTGGGTCAGTTCCCCCAAATTTATGAAAGATGACCATTTACACTTTTTTCCTTCTCTGTATGTCCAGGATTCACCAACATGAAGACTTCCCTGCAGGTGGTGGCACTATGGGGAAAGAATGCCCCTCCCCACAGCATCACTGCCATCATGATCACAGATGACCAGCAGACGATTGTGACCGGAAGTCAGGAGGGGCAGCTCTGTCTCTGGAGCCTTTCACCTGAACTAAAGGTTAGTGAAAGCTATTGGCATTGAAATAGACAGCATTCACATAGTAAAGCACAGCTTGCTTCTTCTACCTSTGGTGACAGTGGATGGTTTGCACGAATGTTAAAAAGATGCTTACAAAAGTAATAAATTGGTTTTACTTAAGAATTTAGAGAAAATAAAGTGATATATGGTGGAATAAGGTCATATTTGAAAATTATATTTTGAATATTGCTAATCTTAACTACCAGCTAAATGTTATCACCCTTTAAGTTATGCTGAGTTTYACTATTTTATATCCTGAATTATATGGTAAGTAACTGAACTATAGACATGTRAGTATAATTCTAAAAATTATGGCTCATTAATCTAAACAGAGAGCATGCATTCCTGAGAACTGCTACTAACTAAATGAGTAATATCTTAATTATCTGGGTGTTTCCACTGTGCTTGGCCTTCTTGCCATTCTTTTGGTCTCTGCTTTCATGTGATTGTTACAGATCACATCAAAATGCTCTAAATCCAGTTTACTATGGTTGTCCTTCTATTTCAGAACCTGACCTCACCTAGGATTTGGCCCATTGATTAGCAATTAATTGTCTCTGTCCCAAGTCATAAACATTTAACATATTGGAATAGATATTTGCTTAACTCTAGCAGTCTCTAGACCCAATTTGTACATTTAAACTAATGATGTACTTAAAGTATACTGCCCTCATTAAGAAGCCTTTTAAAGATCAAAGACTATTTTTAGCCTTTAAAGTCTGTCACTTTAAAACCTAAATTAACAATTAATTGTAATTCTATTTTATAGTGTAATTAATTAACATCTCCTATCACTGAACAGTTCTACTACAGGACTGCCAAGAACCACATAGCAGAGAAGCTCGGCTTGATGTTTATGAACACCCATGAAAGAAGGAATGAGTATTATTGCAATAGTTGTGCTTTGAAAATTATGGGCCATATATATCTTGAAATATATATTTTCTGTTATAGATTTAAACTCAGACTCCTAAATGGCTTTAAATGTCTTTTAATCTTTTTAATGTTGAGTATTATTATTTTCTGGCTGAAGCAGTTGCCTAGTAATGTGCAGTTCACTCTAAGTTTAAGACATTTGAAATGTTGACATCTTGATCCTTTTTTATTTGTTCCTGCTATTTATCCAGCCTTTGTTCAGCATACATTTGTTGAGTATGTAGGCTCTAATGTAGGCTAGATGCTAGTTACTCATGAGTTCAAACACAAATGAGACCTGTGCTGGTTGCCCAGGAGGTTTCAGTATGGTAGAGGAAGGATTTAGGTTAATGTAGTGCAGGTATGTTGCAGTACAAGGTATTCTAAGTAGGGAGTTGTCTTCAAGTATGTACAGTTGGGAAGTTATACCATGTTTCTCTTTGTAGCAAGTCTTCCTGGAGTTAGAGCAGTGATTCATAATAGGGATCTATTTTGCCATCAAAGAGAAATTTAGTAATATCCACTGGCATTTTTCTTGTCAAAATTGAAAGAAGAAATTACTGTAAACATCTTAGGGTATGCATGACAGTTCCTACAACAAAGAGTTTTCCCCATTTTAAATGATAATGACACTAATATTAAGAAACTCAGGGTTAGAGGTATGATTTGGGAATGGGAATCAGATTAGCCAGGGACTGGGGGCAACTAGATCATGCTCTGTTAAGGAAATAGCCTGTGCCTGCAGGAAAACAAAGAGCTTTCTGTCGCTGTAGCCTAGATGTGAACAAAGATCAGAGAGAGGTGAGGCCAGGAGAGAAGATGGGTTGGGGCTGGTCATGTAAGGTTTAATGACCAGTGAAGGAACTTATATTGAATACTTAAAGCAAAAGGAGACATTGAGAAAATTTAAATTGGGGATAGTATTGGTTTTGTGATTTGGAAATTCACCATGAGGATGTTGTTGGAAAAGTTTGCAATGTGAATAAGGTGTTGATTAGTACAAATGTAATACTTTCTCTATGAATTTGACTTCTTTACATTCTTCACATAAATGTAATCATACAGTATTTGCCTTTTCATGATGGGCTTATTTTACTCTGTTGAGGTTTATCTATGTTATCACATGTGACAGTGTTCCCTTCCTTTGTAAGACTTAGTAATATTCCATTGTGAATATACAACACACCACATTTCATTTATCCATTCATCCATCAATACATATTTGCACTGGCTATTGTGAATTATGCTGCTATGTACATAGATACATCTTCATCCCTGATTTCAGTTGTCCTAGTTGTACACTTAGAAGTGGAATTGCTGGCTCRTGTGGTAATTCTATTTTTAATTTTTTGAGAAATACTTATGGTGTCTATATCATTTTATATCCCCACAAACAGTGCACAAGTGTTTCASTTTTTCTACATCCTCACCAATAACAGTTTTTTAATAATAGCTACTTGAATATATAAAGTAGTATCTTGTAGTTTTGAAGGAAAAGGCTTTCTAAGAATGAGACTGAGTTTGAACTAAGTTTTAAAGAGTTCACAAGAATAGAAGGAGGAAGGAGAGTGCAGACAGTGGTAGCAGCAAGTGTAAGCGTTTAGTTGTCAGGGAACTGATAAAAGAGGTTGAGTAGATCATGAAGGATAAATTAGAGGTCATAGATGAGACAGACCCCACATGGCATCTGCAAGAACCAGCCCTGTGTGCAGATTAAAAACAGTGGCAATTATTCKGGATTAGAAGATGTTTACTGTAAGGAAATAATACTCCCATGTTTAATTGTGTTTATATTGTAGAATATCACAGGCTAGTGTTGTGCAGGGCATGTTGAAAGAAAGGAGAGATGAGACCAAGGACAGGGGGCTATGCATAGGAGCCCTCTCCAGTAGTTTAGTTCAGAAAGTTTTTGAGCATGAAACAAATCAATGGCCCATGGGGATGAAGTGAAGATGAAAACTGGGAATATGTTAAGAAGAGAGAATGGAAAGAACTGAGAAACCAATTAGTTGTAGTATCGTTGAAAGGGTATAGTCAAGTATACTTTCCAGATTTGAATTTTGTGTGATGGTAGGACTGGTAAGATAATATTATCATTTATTTAAAAAGAGTTAAAGGGATTAGGAAATTGTAATAGGGAGGGAAAGAAGGTGATGTGAGTTCTGGACATCCTGCAGTATCCAAGTATTCAGTAGCAGATTAAGTATGTCCCTCAGTTTTCCCTGACCAGGGTGGGATGTTAGGGAGCAAGGGAGCTAGGGAACAATGTCTGCAGGTCCTAGGCTTCTCATTGTTTGCCTTGGTTATGCATGCTGCATGTTCTGGGTCTGCTCCTAGAACTCTCTAGTTTGTAGGGTGCACCAGTGAGGATGTCTGTGGCTTGTGGCTTGTACTAGAAACTTCCTCACTTGGGTTTTCTGATATTGACTGCTGATACTCATCACACCTAAGCATAGAGAAAAATGAGGTAAACATCTTTTCAGAGTCCCTTAGTATTGCTATTATCTAATTTTCCTCCTGTTCAGTACTCAAAGTGAAACAAAGTGAAAAACAGCAGTGTGTGTAAAGATAAAATGAAAATCTCATTTGAGGTCTAGTTCTGATATTTACCAACTCTGTGATACTGGGCAAATGACTTGTATTCTTTGAGCCTTGATTTTCTCACCTGTAAAATGTGGATTTAAACACTGTCTATGGTTCACCAGTCCCTGGAATATAGTAGATGTTCATCAAGTCATGCTGTCTTCCATTTGTGCTATTAGAAGCACCTGAGAGTGAGGTTAGGAGGTTCCAAATACTGCATAGAGGTACATCCAATGAATAGGAGTAAAGGTCTCCCGATGTCATGACAAGAGCTAGGCATAGGTGTGGAATTTATTTTTTTATTCTTCACAGCAGCAAAATGAGGTTACAGAGATTATCACAATTTATTTAAATTAAATACTTTTGGGGATTTATTAGCAGAATGAAGTTTTTGTGTAATAGGCAATGATAGCTTCTAATATTTCTTTTTGATATTTTGTCCACAATAGATTTTCTTTAAAGAAGGAAATGTTCTTGATGTACCCTGTACTTAACCTGGCTTTTAATACTCTGGAAAGAGACTAAGTGAATGGGAATATGCACCACTGAGTGTGAGGATTTGAAAAATATAGGATGTTATTTTCTAAGCTGGAACCTTATAGACTTCCCAGGAAAAAAAATTAGAGTTAGAATGTATCTTGTAAGTGATTCAGTTCCACCACAAGACCTTCTTAGCCTAGCAATAGACCTTTTAAAAAATATTTCTGTAATCATAGATATGAAAGAAAGAAATAATTATATTATAGAATAATTTATCCTTATTGATATGCCTGGGTTATCATTTACATATATTTTTGCATAGCTCAGAAAAAAATCACAATGGTATTTTTTGTAGTAATTCATTTGTAATATAGATTTTTTTGTTACCCAAAATACATTTTCTAATCACTCAAATAAAATTTTTGGTCTATTATTGTTATTTTCCACTTACAGAGACTATATATATTTTCTATTTTGTAGTTTAATTTTTATGATCTTGTTTTACAAAATAATGAAGAATATACTTTTTCACACATGATATAATGRTAGAATTAACCATTAATTTTATATATTAAGATTCTCATTCAGGAGAAAAATATTTGTATTTTAAATAATCATTTAATTAAAATATTTTTAGTGAAGAAAACAGGTTCTTATCAAAATTAAATAGAAGATACAGAGAGTTTCCATATACTTCTTCTGCCCCCCATACCAGTTCCCTTCACCATCAATCTGCCACACTATAGTGGTATATTGTTTACATTTAATGAAGCTAGCTATACATAATTATCACCAAACTCTATAGTTTAGAGTCGGTTCACTTCTTAATGTTATATGTGTGTGTGTGTGTGTGTGTGTGTGTGTATACACAAACACACTTATGGTATCATGTACAATATACAGTCTTAAAAATCCTCTACTCCATATTCATGTCCCATTGCCCTGAACCTCTTATAATCACTGATATATTTTTAATCTCCATAATTTTGCCTTTTCTATAATATCATGTATTTAGAATCATACAGTGTACAAAATTTTCAGATTCACTTGTTTCACTTAAGTAATATATATTTAGGTTTTCTCTCTATCTTTTCATGGCTTTAGCATTTAATAGTACTTCATTGTATTAATGTGCAGTACCATGACTTGTTTGTCCATTCATCTACTGAAGGACATTGTGGTCATTTCCACATTTCTGGCAATTATGAGTAAAGCTGCTGTAAACAGTGTGCAGGTTTTTGTGTAGATAATACTTTTTAACTCATTTGGGTAAACACCAGTGAATGTCATTACTGGGTTTTATGTAATAGTATGTGTAATTTCATTATAAACTGATAAACCCACTTCCCAATTTTGCATTCTCATCAGCAACAAATACATGTTCTTATTGTTCTACATTTGTGCTAGCTTGCACCTATTGTTATCACTGTTCTGGATTTTAGCCACTCYATTAGGTGTCTACTGGTACTTCATTTTTGTTCTAATTTGTATTACTTTTATGAAAGATGATGTAGAGCAYCTTTTTAATATGCTCATTTGCCATCTGATTATAATCTTTGTTGTCTGCTTCCAATTATTTTTAATCAGGTGATTCATTCTACTATTATCGAGTTTTAAGAATTCTTTAGGGCTAGAAGTGTGGCTCAATGATTGAGTGTTTGTCTAGCATGTGTGAGGCCCTGTGTTTAATCCCCAGCACCACAAAGAGAAAAATTTCTTTGTATATTTTGAATAAATAGTTTCTTATCAGATATATATTTTGCAAATGTTTCTCCCAGTCTCTAGCTTGTCTTGTTTTTATGATCTTTACTTTTGTTTCTTGATTTTTACTTTTGATATAAATAAGAAACATGTTTACTTTAAAAATTTTAGGGAATAACTTAGAAGTGAATATTCTGCACTGGCCTGGTGTTTGGTCAATGATTAAGGACATTTCAGCTCTTTTTCTCTTTGGTTTTTGAAAGTATAATTGCCAAATAAAGATTATTTATATCTAACATGTTTGATATGGTGATTTAATGTACATATGTATTATAAATTGTTTACCACAAGATGTATCACTGTCTATACATATATCACCTCATATAGTTACCGTTTTTTGCTTGTGGTAAGAACACTTAAAATCTACTCTCGTTAAATTTCAAGTGTGCAATAATAGTTAGCATTATTTTTATTATTATTTTGTATAGTACGAGGAATCTAATCCAGGGCCCAATGTATGCTCAGCAGGCACTCTACTACTGAGCTATATCCCCAGTCCAAAATATGGTATTACCAACTATACATACCGTGCCATACATAGAGCTGTAAAACTATTCCTCTTATAACTCAACATTTTCCTTTGACTAGTATCTCCCCATTCCTTCCCTACTTCCAACTTCTGTAAAACACTGTTCTATTCTGTTTCTATGAGTTGGACTATTTTGAATTCATCATATAACTAACATCATATAGCATTTGTCTTTGTTTGTCTGGTTTATTTCACTTATCATAATAACTTATCCAGGTTTATCTGTATTGTCACAAATGATAGGATTTTCTATTTTATGACTGAATAATATTTTTTATGTGTCTATATATATATGTRTGTACATGTATATATGCACATTTTCTTTATGCATTCATCCATTGATGAACACTTAGGTTGTTTCCATATTTTAGTTATTATGAATAATGCTGCAGTGAAAATGGGTGTACAGATATCTCTTCAAGTTACTGATTTCAATTCCTTTGGATACATACACGGAAATAAAATTGCTGGGCCATATGGTAGCTCTGTTTTTAATTTTTTAAGAAATTTCCATTTTTTTTCCAAAACGCTGTATTAATTCATATTCCTATCACTAATAAGATAGTGTAATGGTTATAAAAATGTAATATTTTCAGTGTTATTATTTTGTAAGTTCATTTAAATTCTGAAATCTACACATTAATATGCTACCGTCATTCTACACATTAATATGCTACCGTCATTCAGGAGACATTTTACATATCATAAACATCAACATGACTTATTTGTATTCAAAACCTAGATACTATAAAACGGATCTGGCTATCATCTAGATTTCATGATGCATACCAAACCAAAACAAACAAAAAATTGGGTACAGCACAGTTGCTTTACCTACGTTTTATTCTATGCATTTTGAGAGTTAATGTATCAGTTTTCCTGAAATATATGTACAGAAAAAGTATAATATAAAAGGGTCTCTTAATACAAATATACACTATAATCTTATTTTAGTTAGCTTTTTTTGCCATTGTGACCAGAAGACCTGACAAGAACAATTTTAGAGGAGGAAAAGTTTATTTGGGGCTAACCATTTCAAGCAACTCTGCTTGGGGAAGAACATCATGGCAGAAGGTCATGGTGGAGGAAAGCAGCTCAGGAGAAGACCACCATGAAGCAGAGTGTTTCACTCACCAGAGACAAAATATATACCCAAAGACCCACCTTATCTAGCTACACTCTACCTGCTTACAGTTACCACCAAGATAATCCCTATTAGCAGATTAAGGCACTGATTAGGTTAGCATGCTCACAATCCAATCACTTTGCTTTGAACTTTCTTGCACTGTCTCACATATGAGTTTTGGGGGGACACTTAATGTCTAAACCATAACAGATGTCTTTATTTTTCAAACGGTTTTTAGTTATGTGAAAGCTTCCTCTCATCATTTTCAGATTTCAGCTAAAGAACTCCTATTTGGTCATTCTACTTCAGTAACATGTTTAGCAAGAGCGAGGGACTTCTCTAAACAGCCATATGTCGTCAGTGCTGCTGAAAATGGGTAAGATATGTGGAACTTTGTTCCCTTCTTTATTCCATTCCCTTTCTGAAGACTATAATGGGGTATGACTTGTGGTCTAAAAAAATTTTCCATGATCAACATGTTCCTTTTACATATAGGAAAAGTTAGATCTTAAATGACTGAGTACTTTTTGATTTGGTCCCAAGGAATATAATCAGTATTRTGATCTCAATGCAATACTCTTGCTGGGTGGGGACCAAGATAAACATTTTAATGTCACCCCCTTACTATGTGAAGAATAATAACAAACACCTAGAATAATAGAATTGGAAATGGAAAAGTTAAGCTGCTTGTCTGCTTTCATGTAATTACTTTTGAGATTTTAAGTAAACTTATCCATTACAGTTTTACAAAACAATTCAGTAGTTACATTCTTCATGTTCTCTCAACTGAGAATGGAGTGGTGGGAAAGAAAAGGGAAAGGAACATAGACTGTGATTTGCCTGAAGTTTCAGGGAAGCAAGGCTCTCCAGTAAAAGAGGACATAGCTGGAAGAAGAAGCCTACCAACAGAAGAGCTTGACTGCTGAAGAGTTATTTGCCAACATGTACTAGGAATGTGGAGTCCATTCTGTATTTGTGAATGAGGGATTGAGTTACTGGCAGAAGTAAGAGAATGCCCTCTTTTGTTTTTTACCCAAAGGGATATTATATGCCTTTGAACTCTAAGAACCAAGAAAATAATAAAGAATCAGGTGTCCCACAAAATAGCTAGCAGAATAGTTGTATAAGAGATACCTGTTCTCAGAGTTTATAGTATAGCAACAGGGGATCATAGTTAGAGAAATGTATACTCAGACATACATAGTATAAATGCTAAGAGAATTCACAACTGATAATGCCTCCATAATGATGAAGTTTTCAAGGATATACTTCTGTAGGAAGAATAATAATTTCAGAAGGAAGCTATGAAATGAAAAAAAAGAATATTGATAAAAACAAGCAAATTTTTAGAAAATTTAAATGAACCCAGACTATAAGACATACTGTTTCTATATACTCTCTCTACCCGCCACACATACACTTAATCTTAGTTGACAACAGCATAGACTAGTTTCAATTCCAGATTCCAAATGTTATGCTGTTCTACGTGTGAATAAAGATGTTGATTAACTTTTTAAATCCRCATCCCTTTTTTTATATGTATTTTTTTTAGAGACAGGGTCTAGCTGATTGCTTAGGACTTCGCTAAGGTGCTGAGGCTGGCTTTGAACTTGCAATTCTCCTGTCTCAGCCTCCTGAACAGCTGGGATTACAGGCATGGGCCACCGCACTCAGTTGATGTTGATTAACTTTAGAATTTCAAGGCTCATGTATATATTGTATGTCTATACAAACAAAATAAATAAAAATAAAAGAAATGGGATATACTTCCAGTTTAAAAAAGAAGAAAAAGTTGTTTAATCCAAAAAAGACATCAGAATCAAAGAAAATGAGACAGATAGAAAGCACAAAACAAGATAGTTGAAATAAATGAAGATAAAATAGAAATCCCAATTATATAATGACACTAAGACCCCTCTGTTAACTTATAAAGATTGTCAGACAATTAAAAATTGTATAAGAACATGGAAAACTTAAAAGAAATGGATGGAAAAAATTAATCAAATATGTACTAACCAAAATAAGGTTGATATAGCTACATTAATATTTTATATTAATAAATATATATATTTAATAAAAATTTTAAGGAAAAAGCCTTGGCACTAATAGAGTTATTATTTATTAGTAAAACTTTTCAATCATTGTAAAAAGATGAGACCAGAGAATGAGGCAGACTCTAGGCCTGTCAGGCCTCTAAGACTGTGAACCTTAAACCTGAGTGTGCATCACAGTGAGAGTCACTCACAGAGCTTGTTTCCCAATTTGGGGGCCTTATTCCTGGAGTCAAGGAAATAGTAGATATGAGCTGGGGTCTAAGAACTTGTGTTTCTAACACAATCTTAGAATATTCTGATACTTCTAGCTCAGAGACCATATTTGGAGTAGCACATACCCCACATTCAGCCAGTGAGAAAAATGTGGAATCAAGAATAACTTGGGAAATTCGCTAGTGATGATACCATTCACTGGGATAAAGAACTAATGTTCATTTTGAACACAAGATGTATGCATTTCTCCAAGTCATCCAGGAGGAAATATCTAGTAGCTAGTTACATGTGGAAATCTAGAGCTCAGTTGAAGATGTCTAGCTTCCAATTAGCATGGTTACAGTAACTGAAGACATGGGAATAGATGACTCACCCAGAGAGAGTGGCAAGTCTGAGAATGTAAAAGAGTCTAAGACAAAAACCTAAGGGGGATCACCACTTAAGAAGCAGACAGAGGAAGAAGAGGAGCCTGACCATACTAGAGAAAAGTCATAAGCCTAATGGAAGGCAAGRGAAAAGGGTTTGAAGAATCCAACAAACTTCTAATTCAAGATGGCATACCAAGTATTCAGTTTATTATCTCTCCCTCCAGTTACAACATTGAAATTTGAGCAAAGCAACAATAGCATTAATAAGAGAAAAATAAATAGAACAAAGAAAAAATAGTATATTTCTAAAACATGGAAAATGTATAGAAGAATAGCAGCTAATACATTTATCCATTGATGAATTTTTATTGAGTATACTGAGGACAGGTTGTAGAGTTGAATAAGGAAAAAAATCCCTTCTCAAGGCCTTACAGTGAAAATTTAACAGCTTTTTTTWAAATTTTGTATGCTACAGATATTTCCTCTGTGCTTCTGCTTCTTATTGAAATAAAAAATAATTAGTAAATTTACCTAGGAACAAGTCAACTGGCCAAGAGCTTTTTTAAACCCCACATACCAGGACCCCAACACAGATGCATGGAATTAGAATCCTTGAGGTTAATTTTCTGAAATAGGTGATTGTTGATGTATAGTAAGAGTTGAAAAAGATGGGTAGTAAACTTAAATCCCTAGTCGAACTAAAATTTTTTATTGTTGGATGCTTAAGTTTCAATTTCCTTACCTTTGAGATATATTTATTTAATTTTGTGGTGGATTATTAGTTGTTTTGCCTTAGAGTTATATGATTTTAATTTCTGCCTTTCTTGCAATCTTATTTTTCAGAACATGTTTCCCTCCTCTTCTAATAGTTACATGCCTATTCAAGTTACCTTTTTGTAATAAGGTTGGATATAAACAGAGGGGGAGAAGCCTTGAATATTTTCCTTTTATACTTAGAATATGGTTTCTCAACCTCAGTGCTAATATTTTGGACTGAACCAGCATTTGTTGTGAGAGATGATCCTGTGCATTGTAGGATATGCAGCAGCATTGCTTGTCTCTCCCCACTAGGTGCCAGTAGTGTGTTCCTAGTTGTGACAACTGAAAATATCTCCAAACATTGCTAAATGTCCTTGGGAAGTGAAGGAAGGGGCAAGGGGATCAAAATCACCTCAGGTTTAGAGCCAGTTATTTAGAAGATTGATTTTTAGTGTTTGGTTATGACCCCCTCCCCCCCAAAAGCCTCAAATTACCACATAAATATAGTATTTACTGTTATTAGTCTCTATTTTGCTCATTCTAAATAGCAGTATTTAGCTTAATGCCTGTAAAACTTGTTTTTCTTCAATAAAAATTTTGTTTGTTAAAAATGTCAAAACAGCAATATTATCAAACCACTTTGAAATAGCCTTTCTTGTTTCTGTAAACAGAAGTCATATAGATTTAAACTACCCTACCTGGGTGTATTTTATTACTGCATTTTAGACTGTATTTGTGTCTTTGTAACATGTGGAAACAAGTAAAAGTTTTCAAAACAATGAGAGTTTTCTAAATATTGAGTGACAAGGATGATTTCAAATAAAAAGAAACTATATCAGTGATAGACCATATGTAGCCTCTTGGTGGCGCTGTTAGATTTTACAAAAATGATACCTTGGCTCTAAAAGATGCAGCCCTTGATGTATTGTGCTTTTCAGAATATGTAGTTTAAGTTCAGTGAAATAAACCATTTCTAGAGGATGCAGTTTCCATGGAAAGATTGTTGTACTGTCACTCACAGGCTGTGATAGCTGTACCCCCACAATTTGTTGTAGGCCAGGTTGACCCTAAAGTAAGGTTTGCAGGCAATGGCAGGGTGTAATTACCCAAACAAAAAGATACAGATACAGTATGTCAACCTCGCTAATGACCACAACATTTTCTTGCCCAGTAATCTGTAACAAAAAGCCACATAAACGATCAGGTTGTGCTTAAGTGCGATGCTTAAGAAAAAGTTGGTGGTACAAAAATTATTCCAGCCAATTGAGTGGAAATGACAGGGAATAATACAAAGTTATGTCTTCTAGGGAGATGTGTGTTTGGAATGTCACCAATGGACAGTGCGTGGAGAAGGCTACACTTCCTTACACGCACACTGCCATCTGTGTAAGTACATTCAGAACATTTCAGGATTGCAACTCAGTTAGAACATTTGCAATGCACATATTTAAAGGCATATATTTGTAGAATATTATTTTCTTTAACTCTTTGTCATGAGAGTAAAATATCAGTAATCCTTCACTATTTTGGCATTCTTCTTTCTCAAAAGCTGTTGTTCAATGAAAATTRTTTTCCCTAATTCTTTTATTTCTGTATGTTATATTTGAAAGACTATTTTTGTATTTTTCCTCAGTGACACTCACAAAACATACATGGACACTTGTAAAGAAGTCATTTTAAATGATTCAGTTTAAATGACACACTATTTTATAAAGCAGTAAAAGGATTTTTCCCTCATTTTCCATTGTTCTTAATTTCTGAAGTTTTACTTACAAAAAGAGAGTAAGAGGCATAGCCATCTTGTTTATAACCACTTCCTAATGTATTATTATCTATCTATTTATTGTTTTTTTTAATTGCTGGGGATAGAACTGAGAGCCTCATACATGCTAGGCAATTGTTCTACCACTGAACTATATTCCTAGCCCCACTTCCCAATTTTTAAAACAGATTCTGTCTTTTGGGGGATGGGTTCCATTGGTGTGGACAGTCTTAGACATGTCACCCATTGCTTTAAGTATGGATACCTGGCTTTGCAATAGCCACAAACTCTTTTCTAATCTTTTGGGGCCAAAACTCTGCACATTAAGAAAGTTCATTAAAGGTACAGTTTATTACTTGATCTTTTATAAAAGCCATTTCCAAAACCTATTTGGCACAAGAGTTTCTCAGATGCTCTTCAAATACTTTTATTTCTTATCAACACGTAGCAGTATTGCTAGGTTAAAGAACATAGGTTTTGTTGTTGCTGTTTAGCAAAAACATTCCAGAAATAATATACTTGTGAGATTTCCATGATTTGGAACAATATTTCTTCTTTCCAAAAGATCCTTCTTTCTCCAGAAAAAAATGGTAAAATATAATTGAAACTGATGTGCAAAATCAACATCATAGGATTACAGAATAAATAAACTAAAATAAATTTGTGTTGTTTTCAGTTTAATATTTTAATTGAACAGCTATTAAAACTAAAATTTAGAGTAGTCTTAAATATAGCCAAAGTTAAATTAAATTCTATAATAGTTAAATTTTTACTTTGAATTTCATTTGTACAGTATTACCACTGCTCATTCCGGATGACGGGAGAAGGCTGGCTTCTGTGCTGTGGAGAGTATCAAGATATCCTTATAATTGATGCCAAAACTTTGGCTATCATTAACACTTTCACATCATCTCAGTCTCCTGATTGGATCAACTGCATGTGCATTGTTCATTCYATGAGAATTCAAGGTAATAGTTGGATATTGTACATTGCTAAGAGATTGCATGTAATTCATCTACTTTTGAATTATTTATTAAATTATTGGGCAAAAGTCCAGAGTGCTTTTTACATTTTCTTGTTAGTAGAGATATTTCTGTAAGTTACATCAAGACAAACTGAGAACACCCACTCCAGTGGGTCATTAGAAAGTCAGGAAGATGTTAAGATAAGTGGAGAAAGGAGGTTTCTGTCACCTAGTTCTGTGTGGTATGTTAAGAATAACGGGGAGTATTTTGTCTTGCTGTATTTTCTGGATGTTATGCTGAGCAAGACAGAAGAAAATGAAAACTGGTTCCTCCCCTTATTTCTAAAATAAGAAGTTTGAATACTACCAACTTATAATTGATAATATGGTTCTTCTATTAGTGGTATTCCCCTTATACAAAGGGATCACTTTGAAATTTTAAAGCAAATTTGGAATATGGTATGAAATGTCAGTTTTTTACTTAAGAAATACACCAAGTTGAACATTTTCTACCTACATAACTCTGCATAATCCTTAAATGACTATGAAATGGTTTATACAGCAATGAGTTATGGCACTGTCCAGCTTATATGTAATCTTTGTTCATTTTACAGAAGATTCTCTCTTGGTGGTATCAGTAACTGGTGAGCTCAAAGTATGGGATCTCTCCTCATCTATCAATAGCATTCAGGTTGGCTTGGTATCTACTATCTTCTCTCCAATTTTTAGTATATTTAGTGAAACTTTTAAATTATTATGGTATTGCATGCTCACAGTTAAAAATTTAAATGATGTAGAAGTATATAAATTTTATTTCCATCTACTTCCCCCATCCATCTTTCCAGGGATGAGCATCAGTATGGTTGAATTATACCCTTCCAACTTTTCTCCTTGCAAATGTTTTTATGTATACACTGATGTGCATACACACGAAGAGATTATGTTTTTAATTTTTAAAAAAATTATAGCAGAATATCTTTCTGTCCCTGATAGCAGAAGATTCTCTTTTTCTGGGTGTGTGAATAGTACAAGGAGGTGGCCATGAACAACTGTGGGTTTTGTCCCCAGGAGTCCAGCATGACACCTCTTTCTGGCATCAGACTATGAGTTGAAGTAATGAATAAAGGAAGGGACATTGTGTTCATGTTTGTGACAGTATTGTTTAGGCCTTCCAAAGGGTGCTAGGGTCTCTTTAGGAATTTTGAGGTTGAAGAAGCCTAGGAATTGTTAGTATACTGAGGTCAAGAAACGTACACCCCACCCAGCATTATTGGTATTCTCTTTATRCACAGGGATCACTTTGAAATTTTAAAGCAAATTTGAGAGCCTTGTTTCCCATCTGAATACTAACCTGGAGCAACCCTGCTTTATTTCTGAAATCAAATGAGATCAGGTGAATTCAGGGTGGTATGTCTGTGAACAATTGAGAGCCTTGTAGTCTGTGTTCATTGTTGGCTACTTTTGTGTCACTTTCAAAGCACTTCATTTATTTTTTTTAATATTTTGGTAATTAAGGTACTGCAGGTTTGTAGAAATTGTTTACAATTTTTGTTTGATATTTCTGCCATATCTGAATATCAGTAACTTTATTTTCTTTATTTTCCACATCCAGAATGGTTCCCCAGAGTGTTTGTTGAGTGATTATATAAAATAAGTGGATAAAATAAATAAAATCCAAGTGKATTTCCTGCTCACAGATTCTTTTTAAAGGAAACTTCTTAGTTCAAAACACTGAAATGCAAACTAGGATACTTTTACTTTTATAATGGTATGGTCTTCTTCAGGTATATGGTCAAATATAAATTTCTAAAAATTAAAACTAAAATGTTTTTCTTTCATTTTCAAGGAAAAGCAAGTTGTCTATGAAAAAGAATCCAAGTTTCTTGACTCTTTGAACTGCCAGACAATACGATTTTGTACATATACTGAGAGACTTCTGTTGGTGGTGTTTTCTAAATGTTGGAAGGTAGTATTAAATAACATAATAAATAAATAGCAGTGATGTACAAATGTAGTTTTGTTCATGACAATATTTATAAAAGTATGATTTATATATGATACGAATTCTTATAATAATATTGCAAGAGTGTAGAATGACTTATCTTTCATGACTGACTGATTAATTTTMAACTCCTTTTTTAGGCACTTTGTTTTCTAAGATATTATTATATATGTCTTGTATATTCTAATTTTATGAATAGAAAATCATAGTTATAATGTCTATCTCTAAATTATTTTTAAATGTTGGTGCCTGCACTTCAGAATTAAAAAGAAAACTAAAACATTTTACCTACAGAGATTAAACCTTAGTTTTAGATTTTTTTTCTTTCTCTGTTACTACATTTGCTTCTAGGGAATATATATTCTTTTCTTGTGAATATATTGACTGAAGTCTGCAAGAGGAAAGCTAAGTTTTTCTTTGCGTCATTTTCTTGTGACCTTCTTTTCTTAACTGTTACACATAACTGGCTCAATGAGCAGAACTATATTGTCTTACTTGTATGGTGATAATATATTTTTGAACAAAGATTTAAAGAACATTGTATAGCAAAGGATTTCTGCTATATAAACTTGCACATGTTAAACCTAGAATAGTCATGGAAAGAATCAAATTGTTTTGAAATTTAGGATTTGAGGTTTGTTCATTTAATAAACACATTCTGGAATGAGACAACCAAATAAACTTCATCCTCGGAAACCTATGTTAGGATGAATGTGGAAAAAAAAAATAAGTGCTAGTAAAATGTAATCTTGAACCATGAGTACCCTGTGGTCTGTTACTAAAAATTAATATGTTGTTGAATTATGACTGTCATTCTAGGTTTATGATTATTGTGATTTTTCCCTTTTGTGGACTGAAGTTAGTAGAAATGGGCAGTTCTTTGCTGGTGGAGAGGTGCTTGCTGCTCACAGAATCCTCATCTGGACAGAAGATGGTCACAGTTATATCTATCAGCTGCTGAACAGGTGGGCTCAGATGGGAGCAGCATACAAAACATTCAGGTAGAAAATGAACTTTGGGAGGTTTATTATGGAAAAATCCCTGCATGCTGCCCATGATCAAAAACCAGAACAAAACAACTTTGGCACTAGAAGATTTACTCTGGGCTTGGTAGGCTTCAGCCTTTGTACAAAACAGCAGGGGATGAAGGAATGAGATTAACCATGTATAACTTGTACAGCTGGTGCTGGGTTTTCAAAAAGTCACTTGTAATTATTAACCCAACATTTTCTAACTAGAGTTTAGAAACTTGAATGKTACCATCCGGCTTTTGAAAATGGGAGGGGGGAAAAACAAATAAAGAACTGCAAATTTCTAAAGTTTGCTTCTCATTTTTGTGATGTAGTGGCCTTTCAAAAAGCATATACCCTGCTGATGGAAGAGTGCTTAAAGAGACCATTTATCCTCATTTACTGTGCTCTACTTCTGTGGAGGAAAACAAGGTAACGTAAGAAAAGAGTGGCTACCTCCAATCTGTTTCACTCGGTTTCTTAGATGAGTGAGTGTTGCTTTGTTTGTAACAGAATCATCCTTGAAAAAATTAACTTGAATCATCACATGAAGTTGTTAATGAGAAAATCAAGTTTTATTGTTAATGGCTACTGAAGAGAAAACGTGGTGCTTAAAAATCTAGATGTACAATAGATTATAAAAATAAAAAATATTTTTATGTCTCATTAACCAATACCTATTTATCATAGGCAAATTATAAATGTTGAAGAAAATAAAGGAGATTAAAATTCTAATTCCACTACCATAAATGTGTACTGTTTAGATTTTAAAATTTCATTTTATGTGTTTCTTTCTTGTAGTTGGATACGTTTCAAATATTTAGAAAATTTGTGAGAATAGTACCATGATCACTTATATATCCTTTATCTATATTCAGCAGTTACTAACATCTTGTCACATTTATTCTCTCTCCACACACACACATTTACCTACATTTTTTTCCTTTGACCATTTTGAAAAGATGTTTGACAGAACATTGTTAACATTTTAATGTAACTACTCTAATTTTGAAATGTTATGAGATGATTTTTATCCTGATCTTTTAAAAACCATATATCAAGATCATTTTCACATATACTTAACTATTCTTATGAGTAAATTTTCTTGTTAAAATAAATGTAATTATGATTTCTGGCAGAGAGTTGAGAATACAATTGTGAGCTTGATAGTTTGCTAAATTATACCTTTGGCACTCTAGGAAGTCTGAAAATCTAAGCAGTTATTTCAATGGTGGGTGTTCCTTCAAGTGATTTTTTTAAACCTCTACACTTGGTCATCAGTTAATTATCCAAAAAGGTATTTCATAGAGGGAGGAAGAGTTTTGAATTATTGATGTGTCAACCAAGAAAGCATGCTTTTTGCAGAATGATGGTTTGCTTAATTAGACAGCAGAGCTGTTGGAAATCCTATAGTTCAGTGATTGTCCCTTTAATATATCGGTGAAAAGTTTTGTTTCCAAAACTTGATTAAGAAGCTGTGAAGCCAAAATTTAGAACCCCAAATGTCACTGGAGCATAGATAAACTTTAGAATTATGGCATATATTAGGGGATGATTTCAAAATTATTTGTTAGCAGCAATAGAACMGTTTCCTTTTTGTTTTGTTCTTGTTGTTTTGCTATTTATCACAAAAGCAGCACTGTTGGTTACTCAGGAATGCATTTTCAGTTATTTTAAAGGGCATATGCTTTCCTCCAGTTTAGCTCCAGAGTATATTTTTATACAGTACAGTTTTCTCTAGAAGCCAGTTATAAGTCATACCCTTCAGAAGCTTCTAGTCTACTGCAAATACCAATGTTATACATAACAATTTAAAACACAATTTAAGAAAACTAATGGGAAGCTACATTGCCGTGTTTCTCAAACTGTAAATGTATGGGTCTTCTATCAATAATTCTTATTTAGAGAATCATAATTGCTTCTGTATCTTTAGTGTGGGAAGGGCTTAAAAGTCAGTGAAATATGAGTAGTGTAACCTAAAACTGAAGGACATTGATCACCCATCCTTAGACTCTTGTTTATCCTTTATCCATTAAATAAGTTAAAGCAGAGTGTTATCCTCCTTGTTCAGACACTACCAGCATTCACTAAATATAATACTTCTTAGTCTTTCCTGTAATTAGGAGGCAATGAAGGCATGTGGTAGAATTGAAAAGATGAGTTTGAGAGATACGTGAACCTAGAAAAAAAGTTTGCTCTGTAAATATATAGTTTTGATTAGACTTGTTTTGGGGAGTGATACCTTAGAATTAAATCTGGAGGTTTGGCAGTTACAGGTTGTGAGAGTTGCCTTGGTAATACATGTGAACAATTGCCTCTCTTCTTTTGGCCAAGTGTAATACCTGTGAACATATCTTGCAAGACTGGGGATCCACCCTTACTTCCTGTAGCTTTCTGAGGATACTCCCAGCTTTCATTTCACAGTTGGTGATTGCTCAGACCCAAAGTTCCTGACCATTAAGGAACACTAGCTCTTCTGGCTTAGCTGAAAAGGAAGGTTGCAGGCCATGGTGGAGGTAGCTGGGATAGAAACACACCCTGAGAGTGGCAGATAAGGAATTTGGGTGTATGAACTAAAAGAGATGATGATAGATAATTTTTTTTACTTATTCTTTTTAGTTATACATAACAGTCAAATGTATTTTGGCATATTATACATACATGGGGCATAACTTATTCTAATTAGGATCCTATTCTTGTGGTTGCACATGATSCAAAGTTACCCTGGTTGTGATTTCAAATACAAGGCTAGGAATGTTATGTCCCATTAATTCTACTGTCCTTCTTATTCCTCTCTTCCCTCCCTACTCTTCATTTCCCTTCATTTAATCCCATGTGCTTCTAGATACATAAACTTTTATTACATTGTTATTATTATCAAGCATATACATTGCCTCATCCATTTCAACGGCCACTAAGACCCCATTTTGAAACTATAGGTCAGATAAGTTAATTCCCAGGTTTTGAACCCAGGTGGTTTAGCTTTAGATTCTTATAATATGTTTTTGGAATAAGTTTGTCATTTTGTTTGAGGAAAGGATAAGAATGGTTAATATCTATTGAGGATGTACTGAGTGCCAGACATCATTCTAAGCACCTTATCTTTTTCCACTCCTTATTTCTCACATAATCCCATATAGTAAATTCTTTTATTAACCCTCTTACACAGTTAGGGATACTGAGACAAGAGAGGCTGGGTAAATTGTTTAAATTAAGTAAGTTACTCTTTTAATAGAATTACTATGTGGTAAAACCCATGTTAGAATCCTCGCAGCTGTCCCCAGAATATATACTATTAGTGAATATATTTTATTGCCTCTTAGAGGATGGTTACTCAGTACTGAAATGAAAATGGTGGTCTTGGGTGAACAGCAGAACTAGAGAGGGAACTATTGGTAAGAAGGAAAACCAAGGGGTCAAGGAGTGGATGTGCCCAGCTGAGGAATGGCAATATGGAATGTGAGGGAGGTGAAGGGGATGGCAGCCCCAGGGRACTTGCCTGGTGGAGGGGATGACAACCCCAGGGAACTTTGCCTGCAAGAGCAGAGCACAATTTGAAGTAAGCTGTGCTGCCACCAATGTGAGTAACTCAACCTCCCTCTCTGGAGTTTCATTTACATATCAAAACATAAAAGAAGTTGGAGTAATCAATTCTAAATTTCCTACCAGGCTCCCAGAGAGTTTGAGTAGTCAGTTTGTCCAAATTTTATTAACATCATTTTCTAACAGCTACAGAAATCATGACTGTGGGACAAATAAGCCCTCAAAATGCCCTCTGAATCCTATCTGTCTGTTTAACTGGCTTAATGGAACTGTTTTTCAAAGTACCGTCATTTCTACAGACTATAGAGAATTATCTGTCTTGGTTGTATGGCCTTGAATTGTTTCTTTTTTCCTGTGTCTTAGTTTTGTAACATTGATAACAACAATACATCATAGCTTTTTAAAAATATTTTTTAATTGCCAATGGATTTTTTACTTTGTTTATTAATATGTGGTGCTGAGGATCAAACCCAGGGTCTCACACATGCTAGATAAGCACTCTACCACTGAGCCATGTTTTRTAAGGGCTAAGTACAATAATATTTTGGTTTTTAATATTCTCTGAAGATACATTATAGAATTTTCTACTCTTATGCCTACATCTAAACCTAAAAACCTATATTTTCTGTCTAGGCGCCATCACTCTCTAATACTTTTAAAATTCTGACACCAGCAATTGCCTTTCTTTTCAGGATRCCTTTTATTTGTACATCAAAAGAGGTTGTCGGTTTTGTTTTTCTAATCACTTAATCATTGTGATTTCTGTGTGTAATCTCTATATACAAGCCTGCCCTAAGAAGAGCTGCCCTGTGCCAAGGCACTAGGGAGATTCTAGACATATTCACTAGGGAAAGTACATCTTTAAGAGCCTTTTGCCTGATATTCACGTACTCTGTTTCAGCAAAATTATGATTTTATATATATATAATTAATAATTATAATGTATAACAGACATAATGTGTATAATGCATATTATACATATACCCAATATATAATATGTATTATATATTATGGAATCTTTTTTTGTGGCAACGTTGGGAGATTTGAAATTATGCATGTTAGATCTAAAAACTGGTCAACAGAAAATAAAAAGCATACTAATAACACAAAAGTGCCATATAAACATTAACTGATGCTGTTTTAACTGACACTGAGAATCGTAGGGACCCAAAACAGATCAGGCCTCCTGAGAGGACAGTATGGGCTCCTGAGTTAGAATTACTAGACTGCAGGCCCATTGCTATATTCTTCACCTTAGGTGAATCACCCCTTCACTCCCTCATCTGTAAATTGAGGACAATGATAGTGCCAACTTCACAGGATTATGCTGGGATTATATAATTGAATATGTGTAAAGCCCCTTATCAGCAACATGTGCATATAGCAGTATGTGTAATACGCTGTTATGGTTTGGATGTAAGGTAGCTCTCGAAAGCTCACATGTGAGTCAATGCAAGTAATTTGAGAGAAGAAATTTATGGGTTATGAGAGCCTTAACCCAATCAGTGAATTAGTCACCTGATGGGATTTATTGAGTGATGACTAAAGGTAGGTGGGATGTGGCTGGAGAAAGTGGGGCATTGGGAGTGTGGCTTTGGGGTATATGTTTGTATCTGGCAAGTGGAGATCGATCTCTCTCTCTCTCTCTCTCTCTCTCTCTCTCTCTCTCTCTCTCTCTCTCTTTCTCTGCTTTCTGATCATCATGTGAGCTGCTTACCTCTCCAACATTCTTCTATCATGTTCTGCCTCATCTGGAGACTTGAGGAGTAAAGCTGACTAGCTATGGATTGATACCTCTGGGGCTACGAGCCTTAAATAAACTTCATCCTCTATAGTTGTTCTGGTTGGGTCCATCTAGTCACAGCAGTGAAAAAACTGACTAAAATATATACATATGAAATATAGTCAAAAAGTTTACTCCTACCAACTCTTTGAAGTCTACCTGATGACTGTTTCATGAAGTTCTTTTTTGTCCTAAATCACAGATTATTTCATTTAATTCACTTGAAAATTCTGAAACAGTGGGAAATAAATTGAAAAAAAAAAAACTTTAGTTCAACTAGAGAGTTTTGTTCCACCTTTTATAAACAGTGGCTATCTATCTACAGTTAGAACGTTTCCACATAAAGTTTATTTTTTTTTGTTTTGGCACAGAGCCTTCCCTTTGTTATGGGCTACATGAATGAAAGGAAAGAGCCTTTTTATAAGGTACTTTTCTCTGGTGAAGTCTCAGGAAGGATTACTCTGTGGCACATCCCTGATGTTCCCATATCCAAGTTTGATGGTTCTCCTAGGGGTAAGACAGTTTCCTTTTCTTTCCTCACATGTTTTCTGAGTACTGATTTGTAATTAATTCAGTGTTTGTTGGGTTTTGTGTTTTTTTTTTTGAGCTTAATAACCTGAAGCTACATATTAAAAAATTCTCATGAACCACTATGTACTAAGTGCAACATAAAAGCAGGCATAAACATAAAGCTTATAGATTTAAACAATTCAACTAATATAATTCAAATTAATACCAATTGAATATAACAGGGAAAGAATGTTGGCAACATGAATATGGATTAAGCTGTTATTCACAGTTTTTGAAAGTATAATGTCTTGATAACATTTTACCTGTCCACTATGAATTGATAAACCACGTTTTCTAATTTTGTATGTTTTACTTTTAGAAATACCAATAACTACCACCTGGACCCTTCAAGATAATTTCGATAAGCATCAAACTGTGTCTCAAAGTATTATTGACCATTTYTCTGGGCTTGAAGATGAGGCAGGAACTGCAGTAGTCACTTCATCAGAGTACGTTCCAAGTCTTGATAAACTAATATGTGGCTGTGAAGATGGGACAATTTTCATTACACAGGCTTTGAATGCTGCCAAAGCAGGACTTCTAGAAGGGGGTTCTTTATTAAAAGGTGACTCAATTTTATTTAACCCTCTTAATTTTATTTATCTAAGTTTCACTTTCAATAAGCTATAGTAGAGAAGATTCAGAAGTCTTTTGCTGATAAATTTGTACATATTTTAATAATAAAATAAAACATACATGCAGATTTAAAAAAAAAAACTCAAACAGGAAGTTTTACAGTGAGAAACAAGTTTCTCTTCTTTTACCAAAGACAACTATAAATAATAGTTTATTTGTGCCTTTATTGAAATTTTTTATGTATTATGAAATTTTTTATGTATAACAGTATACATTTTTAAAATTATATTACACAAATAGAAGCTTATTRTAATACATTTTTATAAGATATCCTTAAATAAATATGAATAAAATATTTTGGTGTTTATTCTTTATAAACTATTTATAATTATTAACAATGAATTTTAATTGAAAATTGATGTTTATGTTTTCTAGTCTTTAGCTACTATGGATAATACAAAATTGATTATTCTTGAACATATATTGGATATTTCTGCAGTATTAGTCCACAGCAGTAGAATTACTAGATCATCATTAGTTTGTATATTTAATATTTTGGAAATATACCTAAAAGTTTTTGTAAAGAAATTATATCAGTATACATGCATGTCCAGTATACATGCATGTCTGTGAAAATGCCTTTCTCCTAAACCTTTGTCAACTTTGCTATTAGACTTTTTAATCTTTGACAATTAGGGAAAGAAAAAAACGGTATCTTTTTGTTTTAGTTTTTATTTCTTTGTTAATGAACTATATTCATTCTTATACATCTTTGTGCATTACCACAACAAATGCCTAGTTAATAAATACCATTATGCAGCAAGTTGTCAGATCAGGAAAGGAAATATAGGAGGTGATTTTAGGATGTGGAGTAAAAATCACATACCATTTTATTTATTTTTTTAAAGAGATAGATAGATAGAGAGAGAGAGAGAGAGAGAGAGAGAGAGAGAGAGAGAGAATTTTTTAATATTTATTTCTTAGTTTTTGGTGGACACAACATCTTTGTATGTGGTGCTGAGGATCTAACCCAGGCTGCACGCATGCCAGGCAAGCGCGCTACCACTTGAGCCACATCCCCAGTCCCAACCATTTTAAATTATATAAATCCTATTAGAATGTAAGGTCTTCAAGGGTGGAGACTGAAACTCAGTATGTTTTTCAACTCCTCTTACATTGCCCATTATTCTCAATTTACAGTGGTTACTAACTAAATGTTACTGACTTGTGATTCAGTACTTGACTGAAGTCAGTGAATAAATGGCAATGAACTGAGGAAAAGTAATATACTGGTATATAGCTAAATGGCTGCTCTTAAAAGTTAGTGAAAAATCCAACACCTTAGCATCTTTTATCTAGGCTGATTTATCCTAATGTTAAGAAAACAAACAGAAACCTACATTTGACTTTTAGCATCTGCGTTTATATTTTTTTTTATGATTTTCGAGGGGTATGAAATGAGGATGTGCCTGATGGACTAGAAGTAACTACAGTGAGATAATGATTCTTYGGGATTCTGCTTTAGTTTGAATATAGAGGTTATGGCTTATGGTCCTCTCCAATTTGGGGACAGTTTAGTTAATGAGGAAGGAAGAAGCTGTGTGGTTAGTCAGAAAAGAAAAGATGTGTCATTCATCCTGTGTTCCAGTACAGATATGGTTTGAAATACCCCTGAGCCTGGAAGATGCAAGGAGAGTGCTAGAAAATTGTGGACATTGTCTTATTTATTTTACCCTATGGTCATTCTGAAGCAAGGATGATTATTATTCTAATCTTTCAGGTGCAGCATCTATGGGTTAGAGAAAATGCAACTTTTCCATTATGACATCTAGAAATTGATCAACCCAGAGATAAAGGCAGATTTCTTCAATAGCAAGTCTACATTCTTAAACATTATGCTTGGTTTTTGACACTTGCAATTAATTCAGTTAACCTATCTATCTGAAACTCAGGGACTTTATCTGTAAAACAAAGAGAAAGGACTAGGTAATGTCTAACATGTTTCAAAGCAAAATGTTGTGGGAAACTTGTTTTTCTTATATATTAGACTTAATTATACTAATTTTAAAGAAAATTGGCTTATTTTATGGAGCAGAATATATGAATCACTCTTTCAGAAAAGTGTTTGCTGTAGAAGAACTGATAACTTGCTAGTATTCTAAGCAAAGAATAGAGTTAAACAATCAATGTTAGTGCTTCATCAAAAGCATGGTTTTGTTTCTGATAAAGCTCTTGCCTTTTGAGATGTTCTAAGTGTTGTCCACTAATTTTCTTAGTCAAATGTGTGTTTATATTAAGAATTTATAAAAAGAATTTTCAGAATTATTTTCTAGATAAAAATAAAGTCTTTACTATTTGGTGTTTGATCATTTTCCAGATTCTCCCTCTCATAAAGTTCTCAAAGGCCACCACCAAAGTGTAACTTCTTTACTTTATCCACATGGTCTATCTTCGAAATTAGACCAAAGTTGGATGGTGTCTGGGGACCAAGGTTCATGTGTGATTTTGTGGGATATCTTTACTGAAGACATTTTGCATAAGTTCTTTTTGGAAGCTGGTCCAGTAACAAGCCTTTTGATGTCACCAGAGAACTTCAGAGTAAGTTAAGATAAAAAGTATGGAATTCCTCAGGTATATCTTTTATTTCTGAGGTTTGTCTTTAATTTTTCTTTTTAATCACTTTTTTCCTTTTCACTCTAGTAGAGCAGTCCAAGTCAGTTTCATAATTTGAGTTGTATGACATTACAGAACATTTTTAAAAGCAAGAAAAATAAGGGATATCCCACAGGAGAAAAAAAAGTTTTGTTCACCTATAATGTAACTGGATGATTTTCCATATTTCTTTCTAATCTTTTTATCCAATTTTTATTATTATACAAATAATTTGGTTCTAAAGGAAGTGTTTAAAATTCTGATTTTATAAAAGTATTTAATTATTCCTAGTAAGAAATAATTATATATTTTTATATATTTTTCTGTCTTAATTCTGAATATGGAGTTATTTTTAATAAAAGTAGCCGATTAATGCAAAAACAAGTCAAACAATGTAGGGATGTATAAATTAGAACTTAACTTTTGCCTTCAACAATTTCATTTTATAATGATATTCATAGTTGCATTATTTTTATTATGTGGATTTTTATTTACTTATCTATTTCTTTAATAAATATTTAGATTTAAAAAATTTATGAGCACCTATATTATGTTGGGAAAAATTAAATAGTTTTGTATGTAATTTTCTCATGAAATGTCAACCTAAATTTAGCTTTCATAGAGCTAATGTCCTTGGTCAACCTAAATTCATCTTTCATAGAGCTAATGTCTTTGTTAAAAAATGAACAACCAAGTTTTGAGTTTCATCTAAAATAAAAGTACAGGATAATGCAGGGAAAGAGATTTTGTAAATTAGTTGGCTTATAAAATTATTTTTCCACAATATTATAAAAAATCAGCTACAATTGAACTTGCAGGAAGCATAATACTTTTTRTAATGAGATGTAAGAAAACAATATTTCAGCAACACAAATGATTGAATAAAGCAGTGAAACAAGGTTAAGTGTGGTTTTAAAATAATTTTCCCCATGATGATTTGGGATTCCTTGATATATCTTTTATTTCTGATGTTTCTTTATTTTTTTTCTTTTTTATTCATTTTTTTTTCCTTTTCACTCCAGTAGAGCAGTGCAAGTCAGTTTCATTCCTGATCTCTTTTTCTCTGCCTCATTCATAGATGATTTAATTTTAAGAAACAGGATCTATTCAAACTAAGTTAAAAAAAAGTTGGGGGGAACACTTTATTCAGAGAGTATAACAACAATCTTTGAGACATCCAGGACAAAACATTATAGCAAGGGCTGGGGGAACTTGAACTCTAAATTCTGAAACCAAGTTTTCCTATGCAAAAGTATATGCTTGTACACTTGCATGCTTTCCTGTGATTGCTTCCTTCTCTTGCTTCTTTCTGTGAATTATTTTTATCTCTTAAATGCCTTTAAAACAGATTCTGATTGGCCTTGTGTGGATCACTAGTGTATATCCACTCCTGGCCTTAAGATTTGTATTCATGTGGTGTGTGTGTGTGTGTGTGTGTGTGTGTGTGTGTGTGTGTGTATGTGTGTGTGTTTAAGGATCCTGAAACACCTTGGGGTGTCCATTCTAGAGGCTATGGGATGGGCAGGTTCTCCAAGAGGTATTATTGGTGGGAAGAAATTATATTTAATCCATTCAATAAGTCTAGGCTCCATATGTATAGCACCTGCCATTTTGTAATTTTTTTCCCTTTGGATTTATGTAATCTCCTTAAAAAATAATTAGGAAAGAAAATATGTTCTCTAGTACCCCACAGAGAGGTTGATGATGGGTCCTGGGAGGTCTCAAGAGATCTCCATTGGTGCTATAAACACAACAGCTGAAATTCTGGGTAGATCAACAATACCCAGCATGGATGGTCATTGTCCTACACTGTGGCCAAGGTAACCACATGCTGACTTTTTAAAAAGTGTCTTAAGGATTCTTGTCCTTAGGAGCCTATTTTTGGTCCTTGTGTCTTTGAAGCGGTGCATTCAGTTGGAACTATCTAATGCTTACCTCTTTTAGATTGTGTCTACACTGAGTTTCCTGTTTGGATTAGAATCTGTATAGTTCTGGGAACAGCACCAAATCACATTTTGAGGCTTTAAGTGGAAACTCTCAGCTCATGATACCCTTGGACCTAAGCTTGTGTCTACAAATAGCTTCTTTTTGTGGCAACAAATTATTTCTGGGGTTTATTTTATTCTGCATTATTTCCGATGTCTGTCTCACTGCCTGAATTTGCTGAGTTATGATCAAGTTCTTCATTTATCTCATAAGTAGATCTGGCCTAGAATTCTCCTTTTTACTTGCATCTCTTGACCTTCCTCATAGGTTGTTGAGTTTAAACTACACTCTGCTTTTAAAGCTCCTCCACAGATAGCTATGTGAAGAGATGCTGTAGAATGTAGAAATGTCCTTTTGTAAATGAGGCTTTTAACAAAAATGTTCTATGTTAGGAGAAAATATAATCAAAAAGAAAACATTTGACTGTTTACTTACATAAGCTTGTTGTCTTTGTCACAGCTGAGGGATGATCAGATAATTTGCTGTGTGTGCAGTGACCATTCTGTGTCTCTCCTTCACCTGGAGGGGAGGAGGTGCCTCCTGCGTGCTCGGAAGCATCTTTTCCCTGTGAGGATGATAAAATGGCACCCAGTTGAGAACTTTTTAATTGTTGGATGTGCTGACGATTCTGTCTATATCTGGGAAATTGAAACAGGTAAATTGAGATTTTACCCTTTCTGATTCTTTGTATATTTATGATGTATAAGTGTGTGGAAAGTTATAGAGAGGACACAGAAATGACATCACTTGCTTTAAGGTTTGGTTGGGCTGCAATTATAGCTTCAGTTGAAGACATATGTGGAAAATACAACACAATGGCCTAATTCAGATCCTGACCAGCTGATGATTAGCTGACAGGGCAGTGCACAGGAATGAGCCGGATATTTCTGGAAGCTATAAATAAAAACACAAGTTATCTACTTTAATTATTAACAAGAGAGAAATTTAGTGTCCTACTGGTCTCRAAGTATCATTAAATTCTGCCTTCTTCAGCATACTCACCATCTCAGCAACATTTTGAGCTAATTGATGATCAGTAATAATGGAATATAATTAATTATAAAACTCCAAAAAGTTGAGTCAGGGAAACTGAAAACTGAGTGGCTTACTTGAACTTTTGGTATTATACCACACAGAATGTATAGTTGAACTTTAAATGTTTTTCTAAAAAAAGTTTTACTACATAACTGAAGATTGAGAATAATGTATTTCAGAAAATGCTGGAACATATCAAATTAGGTGATGTAATTAATGAATGTGAGTCAGGAGAGTTCACTTGAGAGTACATTTCACTGAAACTATTGCATGATTTTTATTGATTAATCAGTGGTGGTTTTATGTTGGGTGTTATTAACAGACTGGGTAGTTTATAATATTATAGTTTAGAGCCATACTTCACCCAACTAATTGCTGTTTTCTTTACCTTTGACTGTTGTGTGTTAATGTTGGTGACTAATGTACTCAAGTTTTGAGGGTGTTTTGATACATTTGTATCTTGTTATATGTCTTTGAAAGCTACCATACTCATTTGCTCATATGAGTTAGAGTCTCATAGCTAGAGGTATCAGTCACCGTTTTATTGATGAGGAATTGTCAATATGTAATGTAAATGTGCAAGGTTGCACAGCTAATAGGTTGTGAGTCAGTTTGAGGGCTCTAGCGGTTCTTTGCATAATATGCCCATAATTAGGAGAGTTTCAGAATTCTTAGTTAATGGGTCCATCTGAGTGGCAAGTGAGTGTAATGGATAAAATAGGCTCCAGAGCCAAGGTTTACCTCCAGGACCTGTCAGYGAAGAACTCTGCAACCTTGGACCAATTCCTTGGCTTCCCTGCATGACAATTTCTTGTTATATGTTATATTTCTGTGGAATGGGAGTAACAGCACTGCTGTCTTGCCAGGATTAAATGAGCTAGTACCGACAACACTTGTACACAGTACCTGTAAGTGATAGGCGCGTAGTCATATTTACTACTGTTATCTCAGAGTGCACCAAAATCTTAACCTCTGTTTGTGAAATCCAAGCCTATAAAACACATTACTTATAAATTGTACGATTGTGTTTGTGATTGTGAACACTTGCTGACTGAACAGAATTTTTAATAGATAACAGAATCCAGTAGGAATAAAGAAATATCTTGTTGCTTACAAGTGTTCATGGTCCCATTGCCTCATCAAGATACCTTTGTGCTATGCAACTTTTTGTATATGTTAATTTTGATGAAGTGGGAAGTACAGTACTCTTGAGGTTAGGTTTATTTCCATTTTGTATTTAATTTTATTATTTCTTTTTATATCCTCAGAATAATCGTATATAGTTGAACAATTGAACAATAAAGAATCATAAAGAAAAATACATAATTCTGTTCCACCATATAAACCCAAGTGCTATTATTTTGATCTACATTATCAGATATCTTTCCATGCCAATAAATAGATATCCATGTTTTATTTCAGCCATAGACCTGGCAGGAAACTGAATTCAACTCAGGTGGGTCAAATGAAGAGACTGTAACAAAGGAATATTTATAGGTATGGGCAGGGATGAGGGAACAGACCAGGAACAGATGGTATTGTTCTCCCCACCCAGACACTGGCAGCATCAGGAAGCTCTTACCACTTGTAGGGCTGAAGCCTCAATAATGGAAAAGCATTAATACCTAGTGAGAGCTGAAGCTCAGGGGGTTTGCTCATACCTGAAGTCATGCCAGGGAGGCAGCTATAGCCAGATCCTCAGGACTGAAACAGAGAATTGTGGGAAATTCTCTTCTTTCTCCTGCAGTCCCCTTCATTAGTTTAATCTTTCTGGATGTCAGAGGTGAAAGGTATCCAGTTCTAGATACCATATTAGCTTCACTGTGGACAGAGCAGGACATAGAAGGATAGGTGGGATCSAGTGGGCTACCAAATGTACAGAGACTGGAATAGTGGCTGTAATGGACACATCTGAGTTCAATCCCAGGTACCAAAAAAATAATTAATTACTTCAGGAATCTCCTATAGCTGGCTATTTATGTTGTTTCCTATTAAAGTGTTTGTTTTAGTTTGCCATATTAAATAATATGTACTGTTGATCACCAAATTAACCTAGAGGATATTTGATCCAAAKGAGGCTATTTATTTATCTCATGCTACTACACTGGTAGTTTTTAAACAACCTCAACTCAGCCTAAGATAGAACTTAGGATTGCTCAGAACTATATCAGTGTCTTCACATTCGTCCTGTGTCCTTCACTTTTTTTTTTATTGTTGGTCATTCAAAACATTACATAGTTCTTAATACATCATATTTCACAGTTTGATTCAAGTGGGTTATGAACTCCCAATTTTACCCCGTATACAGATTGCTGTATCACATCAGTTACCCTTCCATTGATTGACATATTGCCTTTCTAGTGTCTGATGTATTCTGCTGTCTGTCCTATTCTCTACTATCCCCCCTCCCCTYCCCTCCCCTTTTCTCTCTCTACCCCTTCTACTGTAAATCATTTCTTCGATTTGTATTATCTTGTCTTACCCCTCCTTTCCTCTTATATGTCATTTTGTATAACCCTGAGGATCGCCTTCCATTACCATGCGATTTCCCTTCTCACTTCCTTTCCCTCCCACCTCTCAACCCTGTTAATGTAAATCTTCGTCTCAAGCTCTTCGTCCCTACCCTGTCCTTGTTTCCTCCCCTTATATCAAAGGAGTCATTTGGTATTTGTTTTTTAAAGATTGACTAGCTTCACTTAGCATAATCTGCTCTAATGCCATCCATTTCCCTCCAAATTCTATGATTTTGTCATTTTTTAATGCAGAGTAATACTCCATTGTGTATAAATGCCACATTTTTTTTATCCATTCATCTATTGAAGGGCATCTAGGCTGATTCCACAATCTTGCTATCGTGAATTGTGCTGCTATGAACATAGATGTAGCAGTGTCCCTGTAGCATGCTCTTATTAGGTCTTTAGGGAATAGACCGAGAAGGGGAATAGCTGGGTCAAATGGTGGTTCCATTCCCAGCTTTCCAAGAAATCTCCATACTGCTTTCCAAATTGGCTGCACCAATTTGCAGTCCCACCAGCAATGAACAAGAGTGCCCTTTTCCCCGCATCCTCTCCAGCACTTATTGTTGTTTGACTTCCTAATGGCTGCCAATCTTACTGGAGTGAGATGGTATCTTAGGGTRGTTTTGATTTGCATTTCTCTGACTGCTAGCGATGGTGAGCATTTTTTCATGTACTTATTGATTGATTGTATGTCCTCCTCTGAGAAGTGTCTGTTCAGGTCCTTKGCCCATTTATTGATTGGGTTATTTGTTATCTTATTGTCTAATTTTTTGAGTTCTTTATATATTTTGGTTATTAGGGCTGTATCTGAAGTGTGTGGAGTAAAGATTTGTTCCCAGGATGTAGGCTCCCTGTTTATCTCTCTTATTGTTTCTTTTGCTGAGAAAAAACTTTTTAGTTTGAGTAAGTCCCATTTGTTGATTCTAGTTGTTAACTCTTGCGCTATGGGTGTCCTATTGAGGAATTTGGAGCCTGATCCCACAGTATGTAGATCATAGCCAACTTTTTCTTCTATCAGATGCCGTGTCTCTGATTTGATATCAAGCTCCTTGATCCATTTTGAGTTAACTTTTGTGCATGGCAAGAGATAGGGATTCAGATTCATTTTGATGCAGATGGATTTCCAGTTTTCCCAGCACCATTTGTTGAAGATGCTATCCTTCCTCCATTGCATGCTTTTAGCCCCTTTATCAAATATAAGATAGTTGTAGTTTTGTGGATTGGTTACTGTGTCCTCTATTCTGTACCATTGGTCCACCCGCCTGTTTTGGTACCAGTACCATGCTGTTTTTGTTACTATTGCTCTGTAGTATAGTTTGAAGTCTGGTATTGCTATACTGCCTGATTCACACTTCCTGCTTAGTATTGTTTTTACTATTCTGGGTCTTTTATTATTCCATATGAATTTCATGATTCTTTTATCTATTTCTACAAGAAATGCTGTTGGGATTTTGATTGGCATTGCATTGAACTTATAGAGAACTTTTGGCAATTTGCAACCCACGGGCGGGTCAGGTCCAGCAACCTGCCGAGTGAAAGAACAGCTACGCGCGCCTGCAGGGAACGCGGACAGGACCCACAAGTAGGACAGGGCCGGCGGCTTGCTGAAGGGCAGGCCCGTCCCCTCCCCCAGTGTCTGCAAGGTAGGCGGGACCCTGACCAGGGGCGGATGGCCCCAGCGGCCTGCTGAGGGGTGGAACCGGCCCCTCCCACAGTGCCTGCAAGCTAGGCGAACCTGCAACCCAGGGCGGGTGTCCTTCACTTTTTCAAAGGATTGTCCCATTGGCTGACCATCCCATGTGAGTCCCACAACAATCCGTGTAGGTGGCTGATGGCTTAGTTTTCCACCTCATAAGCATTCCTTTTGAATAAGTTTTGTTTTGTTTTTTAAGTCTTGTGTCTGGTATTGGCTTTGTTGTTGGTTGCCTTTAATCTCTATATCAATTTTTCCTAAAATTTAATGAACACTTTTTTCCCCCAAGCTGACTTTATCTAGCTAAGGTGGCTCCATCATGTTTCCTGTACTTGATCTTTATTTTATCYTTTTCCTGTAAGAGAGAAAAAAAATCTTGGATGAGGAATCTTTTCTATTTATATTTTC